TGGCGGCGGGGCCGGGGGTCCTGGGCTTCCCCTCAGCGGTTCCGCCCTGGGTCCAGCTCCCCGCGCCACCCGCCCTGTTCCCGTGGGGCACCTGCCTGGGACCGCGCCTCGGGTACTCCCGCCCTCCACCCCGGGGCGGGAGATTTGGATGCGGACATTTGGGCAATGGGGAGCATCAGCGGGATAAATTCCCAAAGAAGCCAGGGGTTAGGGAACCTTAAAACAACAACAACAAAACAACAACAACAACAGAAAAAACACGAACAAACAAAAACCCACATCGTTCTAGTTATAATCATTCACCTGAACTGCTTTAATGACGCATAAAGTTTAATTCCACTTTTTCACCTAGAATCTGAATCAGCCCCTGGAAGCATTTCTTAGTATTCTCACAATGTTTTTGTGGTTTTGACAGAAAAATAATGAATTTTCAGAGTATTATTTAGATTTTTGGAGCCCTCTGCATCAATTAGATATTTAAGTTTCTGTTAATCTTCACACAAACTCAGTGAAGTAGGTGTTATGTCCTTATTTTTACAGATATGGAAACTGAGGCACAGAAAAGTTGAATTATTTGTCTATGGTCATATTATGTACATGGAGAAGAATTTGAACTATGCAGTTTGGTTAACAATTGAATTTCCCACCGGCAAGGCCATGACAACTCTGGTACACTGGTGCCCGAAAAAGGTTAGTAACTGGTTGGGTAATGTACTTGTTTAGGCTAATCTGTTTCACAAATCATGAAAGGGTGAATCTGCCATTTTTCTAGGAAGTTGAGAAATAGCTCTCTAATGTGATCAAATCCTTCTCTCCCTATCCCTTCCACCCAGCCCAAACACACCAGGAAAGCAGTAAGTAGTATAATTCTCTGCAAAAAGTGTTGCTCAGTAAATGCTGAATGGAAGCCAAACGGAAAGTTGACAGCATCAGTTTTTTAAAAAAATAGAATGGATGTTTAAGAATAAGTAATTTATTGCAAAGGTGGGTTGCTAATCTCAAATTATATCACTATTTCCTCAAATGTAGGCCTGGACCTCCTACTTCAGAATCACTTGGGGCACTTGTTAAAATGCAAATTTATGGTTTTAAGCTCAGACCTTCTGAATAAGAATCTTAAGGGTAGAACCCAAGAATCAGCATTTTAAATATCTTCCTCCAGGAGACTCTCTCGAATCCTTCCCCTTCTCCCCAACCCCACCATAGCATGGAGACCACTAATTTACTTGGGGAGACCTCCTGGTTACTTGGCATTACAAACTTCCTTTTCAGGAAGTGGAAACTTGGGGACAGTGGTGCAATAAATGAGTGTCCACTTATTCAAACCCTGTAGACTTTGAAGAGTTGGAACTCTTTAAGGAATGTAAAGACTATACTGGAAATGTACCTACCTGGGAAGAGGGGAAACAGAGAGTGGTAGTTCCAGATCTGAATTGCTCCTTTCCATATCAATAAGTGGACCTAGAAGAATAAGGATTCCATCTTTGACCCGGGAATCCTCCTACCGTCAGTGTTCCTTAACCACCTGCTGCTTGAAGCCCAAGTGTCTAGGCTGGGCTTTCTGCAGGATGTGGTGTGGGAGCCTAAAGGGCAAAGCTAGGAGGAAGAGCTGGGGATAACTAGAAGCCTCCCTTAGGAACAAGGTCTTTTTTCCACACCCAGAGTGTGTAAGTAAAAGCGGTCAACATAGCTTTCTTTCTCATGTTTCATGCATATTTACAGAAACAGAAAGATTATACCTTTTACCACTTTGAATCAAATAAGAACATTTTGAGGTTGCTACAATCTATTCTTACATGTTACCTTAATCCATATTACCAATAGTGACCCACTGCCCAGTTTTCCTGAGGCTTCTCTACATTGATTTCAGTTGGGTATGAGAGCAAGGCCTCTGAAATTTTAATGTGCACACAGATTACCTGGGGGTCTTGCTAAAATGCAGGTCTGACTTAATAGTTTGGGGTGGATCTCTCAGGTGATGCCCAGGCTCTGTACCAACCTTGAATAGCGGGGTGTTTGAACATTCTGGATTGTAAGGCTTTGGAGATAGTGGATAGACATAGACGTTGTGGTAGGACAAACATTTGAGACTTTAATTTGTTAATTTTTTTTTTCTCTAAAATTTGAACTAGCAGAGTTTCTGAATCCTAAAAGAAAGATTTACATTAAAAAAGACAAGCTATGCTCTACATGAGGACCCATAACTATTAACCATTTAAACCTGTGCTAAATGTGTATATTCAGGATGATTGGTCCTAAATTCATTTTTAATTGGCTTTGGAATGCATTATATAATTTTTTGGCAGGATACCTACCTTCCTAATTATGTTTTGTTTAAGATAATGCTGAAACCAGTTTGCATCCCCTTGAGCACACACACTAATTGATGGTGGGAACAGCTGACCTGGAAATATATTCCAGAGCAGAGGGCAACCTGCTAGCCTGAGACACAAACAGTTCTCACGGACAGTCCGTGAAATAGATATACCACATCTGGCTTGACATAGGAACTAGCTAGTTAATTACTACTTA